CATCTTAAACTCATTTGTCCCTCACTTTGAATTAATTTCAAAATCTCTGAAATATTGTCAAAATCTTTGGAAAATCGGTTCTTTATTTTAGGCTCCGGTGAAGACGTGATGATTGAGACCTCATTCTCGGGATTTGATCTAAAGATCGCTTTGCAGACAAACTCAATGACTCTGATCTGCGATTCCAGATATTCTTTGCTTATAGACTCGCTGTTGTCCACACAAATCACTATACTTTCCATTTGGTCCACCATTTAATGATAATTACACTTTAATGCAAGAGATTCGCAATTATGCCAAACAGTTATTATTGGCATAAATACACGAAAAGGAAATTTAAATTTTTACTCTCCTCGTGACTAACAATTCAATTATTATTTCATTGAAAATCAATTTGTTTAAACACTAGTATTATGTGTTTAGATTCAAACAATTTCAAACTAAAGTACAAATTACTGTTAGTTTTCTATTACTAGAGATTTGTGACAAATATTCTTCAATATGGGAATCGATGTGAAGAGGTTTGTGGAGAGCGTCAGTCAAGAATTCATATGCGGTTTATGTAATGGAGTACTTCTACAGCCGTTAATGATTTTGGATTGCAATCACTTCTTCTGCACTAAATGTATACAAAATCAGATGAAAGTGTCTGTCGTTTGTCCGAAAGACAATCATTTGATTTCATTCTCGCAACTCATTGAACCCCAGAGACTGATTGTCAATCTCTTGAACGATTTGAGAGTCAAATGCGAGTTCGCGTCCAATGGCTGTGAAGTTGTGGTAAAATTGGGACAATTAGTGGGACACCAAAGAGAGTGCGATCGCAATCCGTTCAGTAAAAGTCGTTTGAAATGTCTTTGCAAACAGGAATTCACTCAAAAGGAGTTCATTGAACACAAACACAACTGTTTGCCATTCATTAACAATGAGCTCCATCTCCATCGCTCACAGATCTCCACATTCATGGCTGATATCTACAGCCAAATGACAGTCAATTCTTCGAAGAGATTCAGTTCGGAAACTGAATACCTTTACCACCGACTGAGTCAAACCCTGCCGACAAGAAGTCGAGAACAGAATCCAATACAGAATATTCTGCTTTTCATTATTTGGCGTCTTTTGGTGCCCAATAGGTCTGATGGGAAGGACTACAACAAAGAGCATAAGAGGATCTCATCAGCGCTTCTGGATCTGCAAACAGCCACTCATAGCAACAGCGAAGCCATCAAACAATTCAAACGATACAATGGCTTAGAATTCATAGTTTTAATCAAGAGTTTGACTAAAAACCAAGTCATCAATCAGAGAATTAGTGAAATTTTCGTCAACTTTTGCAGTTTTGAAGTGCCCTTAAGAGACCTAATGGACAAACAGTGTCTCGATTTGATATTTTCTCTGTTGGACTCCAAAGCCAATGGCATCGAAACGAGTTTCAATTGTGTTGAGGTTCTGTCCGAAATGGTTGTCCTATTCAACGATTACTGGAATGACTTGTCGTCCGTTTCTGAGAGAAAACTAATTCTCAATCGGATTAAAGAGACAATCAATGGATGGAAACTCAACGTCAGACTCAGTATGTATTCAACACTTAAAGGGTCACTGAATCGGCTGAAAGAAAAAGTCAATTCAATGCCACCGGAAGTCCAGTACAGATATCTGTGGATTTTGGTTCATCACAGCAGAGTTTCCCCCAAATTGTATGTCCCGATGATTGAGGAGGAAGGGGTCATGCCTTCACTTAAGGCTTTACTACAAGACGATAAAACAGAGCCATATATTAAAGACTTCATTCAATTGCTTGTCCATCAAATGGACACATTTCATGGTTTGGGACATTTGAATGGATTAGAGAATACCGACAATAGAGCTGTGATTAAGACATAAAAATATTTTTCAATTCTTGTGTTTTATTTCAGTCAATATTATAGTCACATATTTGGATAGAATTTACTTTTAGTTTTATTCTCTGCTAAAATAAATTATTTCAAAATATAACTTTATTAGTTTATTGATTTATTTTTAAATTTTAATGCGAGTATAATAGATGTAATTTGAGATTAATTTACAATATGTCCCTGAACTATATTTAATATTTAGTTTGTCAATAATGTTAAAATTAACTTTATTAATTAAGAATATGTTCTCTTAATTCTAATTAATAAGGAAAAATGTTTTAATAATTAGTTTTATGACTGGAGTTAGATTTCATTAAAACAATGCATATATCGTATTTTAAACAAACATTAATAAGGTATATGAATTTCATATTATGAAACATAACAGAATATGTGTTCAAATAGAAGTTTTACTAATATGGGAATTACACAAAAAATAAATATTGAATAATGAGTGCAAACTTTTGAATAAAAGTGGTAATCCTTGGTTCAAAACCTGATTTATGAGTATATTTGCATAAATTATTTTAAATATTTATGATTGAGTATATAAATACAATAAAAAACACCATGCAAATCGTTATGTGAATTAATTCAGAATCATATAATAAATTGAAAGCATTTAAAGTCTACAATTTTAATATTCCAAAATACATTACTCTAATAATTATGTAAAATAACAATTAATTCTACAGTTGTATTTAATTTTCTAATTTCAAAGTAACACGAAATATAAACAAAATTAAAAGTTTAGACTGTGAAGCTGTTCATTTCCTTAACTATAATCAATAAATTATAGTATTACTGCATTATAAAACTTAAATAAGTTACTTGATGTTACTGTTTATTTATTGGTAGTAACATAGTGTTTAATAATAATAATGTTGACCACAAGTTTCTCGATAATGGATTATTTAGTGTTTGGTTTACTTTTAATTATATCATCACTAATTGGTGTATACTTTTGGTTTAAATCACTAAACAATACGTCAAACGATGAGTTCCTGACAGGAAAGCGTCAATTGAGTGCATTCCCGGTGTGTATGTCTTTGGTCGCCAGCTTTATGTCGACCAACACTTTGCTGGGACTGCCGGCCGAGGTATTCCTATCGGGCACTCAGATCTCAGCCCAAATCATATCATTTATTATTGCTATTGTATTAAGTGCTGAGATCTTTATGCCTATCTATTATCGATTGGATATATTGAGTGTTAATCAGGTTTTATATAAATTTATATGATTTTTATTTAAATTTTCGTGTCATTTATGGTTAATTTGATATTTTATTTGTCAAAGTATTTATTAAAGCGATTTAATTCAAAATCCATTCGTTTGGCTGGAACTGTAGGTTTCTTATTTGCCACTGTAAGCAATAATTTACTTTACATTATAAATTAACAATTATTTTACTTGCTACATTAAGTTATGTCAACTTTAAACAGATTCCGTACGTCGCTGTCGTGTTGTACGGACCGGCACTCGCTCTCAGTTCAGGTCTATTAATGTGTTTTAATTTATAAATTCTGTTTAATTAAATATCAATTTGTATGACCTATCAGTAACTCCACTGTCTATATCATCATCAATTTTAATGGTCGGTGCCATTTGCACTTTCTATACATCCATTGTATGTCAACTATTCTTAAGATACAACTTTATAATTTGAAATCTCAGTGGAAACTAATGAATGCATTTATAATAGGGAGGAATCAAAGCAGTCATTTGGACGGATGTCTTACAGTTTATTTTAATGATCTTAGGAGTACTAATGGTTATCATACAAGTAATTAATTATTATAAAATATAAAATTGTTTAAAATTAATTAAATTGTTAAACATTTCAAACTTAGGGCGCTCTAGAAGTGGGAGGATTTCAAGAGATGTGGAATATTAACCAAAAGGGCGGACGAGTTATATTTTTTAAGTATATAATGTTTTAATCAGTTAAATGTTCAGTATCTATTTTAACACATTAAAATCGCCAAACTAGTTAAAGTAAGTAAGATATAAAGGCAATGTATATCTTTTATTAGTACGGATGTTAATGTATACAAGAATGACAACCTCTTGAATGTCATAATCGGCACAACTATTATATGGAGTGCTAATTATTGCTGTTTACAAACCCAAGTACAGAGGTATTGTAGTCTGGGATCAATACAAAAAGCAAGGAGGTATGCGACAAATGAATCAAATTAATTATCGACAAATTTTAATTACAACAAGACCAATTTTGTTATAACACAGAACTCTATACTGGAATCTTCCACTCCTTATACTCATATCATTACTGGCAGTGATGAGCGGAATGGCTATATTTGCCAAATACCACGATTGCGATCCAATCACTTTGGGTTATGTACAACGACCAGATCAATTGATGCCATACTTTGTAATGGACACACTTTCCCAATACCCGGGTCTGGCCGGACTGTTTGTGGCATGTGTGTTTAGTGGTTCCCTTAGGTATGGTATTAAATCATATCTTAAATATAGACCCTGTCTATTATAATTTATCAAAAATCTTATTTAACTTGAAAGCACACTGTCCTCCGGTTTCAACTCATTGGCGGCCATCACTTGGGAGGACATCATTAAGCATCGGATCAAATGTCAAGATGACAGACATGCTCTTAAAATCACTAAACTAATCGGTCATTTTCAGTTTTTATTGCCCACGATCATTTATATTACTTATTAACAATTCATTTTAATAGCCGGGTCGTATGGATTGATAGCCATCGCCCTGGCATTCATTGTGGGCAATGCGGGAACAGTATTTCAAGCTTCCATCTCATTGGTCGGTTCAATGGTTGGACCACTCTTTGCATTATTCACTTTAGGAGTACTTTATCCCTATGCAACAGCACCGGTATGTAAATCTCCAAATTGATATGCAGTTTATACTAGTATTCCTAATGGGAATTTCCTGTACGGTATTCACTATTCACTTTAGGGTTCATTAATTGGTTTCATTAGTGGAATAATTTGTGGTTTATTCCTATCAATTGGATCACTGCTTCATCCCAAACCTAAAGTCTCTTTACCCACCACTACAGACAACTGTCCACCAGATGTTGTCAAAGACGTCTACTTAAAATCCATGGCTTTTCCTAATTCATCGTATATATCGACTTATGATAATCCAGAGTACAGATAATCTTCACATTTGTATTAAAAAGTGTTAATTATTACTACATTTACAACATTTCAGAGGATGGGCTCAAGTGTTTCACATCTCTTATCTATTTTTACCTCTCATTGGATTCATTACGTGTCTGATAACAGGCGCTGTTTGCAGTCTATTCATAGGTTTAATAAATATTCTGACATATGATTGCATTGTATTCACAATCCATTGAACATTGAATTACTATTTATTAGGAAAAACTGACCACAAGATTGACGAACAACTGATGAGTCCATTATATAAATACATATTTCCCGGATTCAAAACTAACTTAAATCTTCCCATACAAATGGTTAGTAAATAATTATCACAACAATATAACAAATTAAATCTTATATTTATAAACTTAATTATTTAGGAAAATGATGAAAACAGGAAACTTAATGAAACTTAATGTAAAAGATTTTTAATTTTTATTTTTATATTAATGGCACTAAAAATGGCACTCATTTTCATGTGAATTCATACAAATATAACTACAGTATTAATCAAATGAATTAAACATACATTAAATTCTCATAGAGAATACATTATCATTAGATTAGTCACAAACTGATTAACTCGAAGTCATTCACCAATTCCTCAATTGTGGTCACATCCGACTCACCCAACACTTCCAACTCATCATTCATATGATTATCATCTGTCACCACAAGTGTGGACACACTTTTCAAATCATACTCTTTCAATATCTCTGCCCTAAGTCTTTGAATGTCATAAACTTTTTGCGCACATAAATAGTAGTACTGTTCCCGACTGTCGGCGCTCTGGAAAATACCCGACTCTATACGACTACATGAGTCGATCAGTTGATCCATTTGTAGACCTATGCCATCGGAAACACTGTTATCCGTCATGGATTGGGCCATCATTTTAGACAAACTTTGTCTCATATGATGGCCAACAGAAGTGTGCCATTCCTTGAGCTCATCACCGGTCGCACGACTGGTCTAACGAATCAATTGACAACAACTTTAGTTAAGTTTAGCACATCTCAAGACACGAAACCTGTGGTTCAGTCAAAGACATCATAGCTTTGGTATGAATGGCAGAGCGGTTGGGCTGACAGAGGGGACAGTCTGTGCGATGGCAGCGGTTCCAGTGATGTATGAGTTTGAGAGTTGTATGACAAACGGCGGTACCATTAGGACAGTCATTGTCTTGACGGCAATCACGCAAATGGTTGAACACATCCCTCATAGTCTTGCAGTGGACTAAATGGCACTCACTTCCAGACAATCGGTGCATACATTTGAATGCGTGAAGAATTAGCGACAAGTGTTTGCTATGAAGTGATGCCATCCTATGTGCACCCAATGGCACCGGTATGTAGGGTAGGGATGAGGTGGGGGTGACTGTAATGATGGCAGTGTTGACTACTTTTGACACTTCACTCAAATGTAAACAACATGTGTTGTGTACAGTTGTGGGCCATTCACACATTGCGTACGCTTTCTGTCAATTCACACAGACTTTGAAACAATTATTGCGTTGAATGTAGTGATGGATTCACACGACCAGGACATGGATCAGTTCGAACTGATTCGACAATATATGAAGGAATCCGAGTTTATTGGACGTCAGGAACTGTTTGAAGATACAGATGACACCAATTATAAGCCACAGACTCTGGACTCGGATGGCCTGCACTTGACGTTCAGTTTGAAGGACTCGTTGGATGCGAAGCAAGTGATGGCCAACAAAGACATGGATCAGTTCTTTGAGGGTTTGGATGCAGTGAACGAACACCGCGAAGATGTCAACAATGCTATGATGGATAAGCCCAACGCTCATATCCCTGACCCCCACATACAGCCTGTGGTTCCCATTGCCGTGTCGTCCACTTCCACACATTCGGTGCAATTGATGCCAAACACCAAACATATGATCATAAGACCACTGATAACACAAAATGTGCTCAAATCCGACGTTAAAGTGGAAGTGAAGCCTAAGAAAAGGGGTCGACCGCCGAGAAAAGCAGCCAAACATCCGGCGCCTAATAGGGGCAGAGGTCGACCTCCTTTGGAGCCCATCGAAAGGGAAAGGAGGCGGCGGTCGAGGGAAAGGAAGGCATCGGCCAAATGGAGGGCTAAACAGAAGGCTCTTAAGGAGACCATAGAGAAGGAAGTGATGGCAGAAGTGAGTCATACTAATGAAGAACTGAAGCACAGATGGGAGGCATTAAAGGCACGGTATAGAGAGTTGACTGCCGTTGTGGTCAACCATTTCCACACATGTACTCATACGGACAGACCATTGCATGCAATCAATCAATATATTCATCTCACATAATCCGGATCATTGTGTTTAGTATAATATGATACTGTATTTTTATTGTATACTCTATTTGTATGTTAATTATTCAAATTATTTCAATTCAAAATGAATGTTACTTTTCAAAATAAGCAATCATTGTATTTATAATTAAACTCTATAAATAAAATTGAGTCAATTATTGAGTTCAAGAATATTCTTGTGTACCGTTTTAATTACAAACTATTATTACGTTTAGTTCATGACTTGTAGTTTTGTTTGTGAAAAATACCGTACGATATAATTGACGATAAGATTACGGTATTGTAAACAGAGTCATACGTATTGCGATACCATACGTACCCCATACGTCAATTCAACCTGAATATTTCTACTATAATATAGTTAATTGATTTCGTTACGAATATTATGTAATATTTTTATTTTAATGGTAATACACAATAATATTACAGTGCAATACAAGTACGGTACTATGCAATTGAACATACTATACACCAAAAGCATTTTAAGTTATAAATGAATTTATGTAAAGCAACCAAAAAATAAGACTAATTTTAGAAATATTTAGATGCAAAAAATGTGCTGGTTTAATTTAGTTTATTCTAGTTTTGCTGAATAGTGAAAAGATTTTGCGTTAGAATTAAATAAAATACTCTCATATTAAGGGATAAAACAATTAACATGGTAAAAAACTTTCATTTCATTAATTAATGTCAAGTATGTTGATAATAGGGGTACTGAAAGACATTACTTCCCAAACATTAGCATCAATTCATTGTTAGTTTAAGACATTAGCCCTGAAATCATTGTCCGACTCGAGCATCGATTCCAAGACGAGACAATCGAATCCTTTGGTGACATCGCCCACAGAAGCGCTCAGTTGTCTCAAGCGTTTGCCATTGTTCTCAATGATGTAGATCTTCTGCCAAAACAAGTGTGTGTACTGAACGAGACTGTCGGCGCTCTTATAGATATCCTCTTCTATACCGAAAGCATAGTTGAAGACATGTCTGACAGTCATGTCCTCCAAGTCATTGACATTTGAACTCGAGATGAGCGACAGAACCAGCTTTTCGATCAAACGGTTGCGAACGTCACGTGTTATCCATGAGTGCCAGTGTTTGCCATCGGATACTGTGCCACCACTTTGCTGTCCATTCGTAACACATTTAAGTTGAGTCTCAGACAAAACACGTGTCAATTCATGGCATACCTGAGCCAACTCGGCCTTCCGCTCGATGTAACGCTCTTTCAATGGGGAACAGACCTCACAAGTAGTGTCAGTGCGGACACAGTTATGCCAATGGGAACTGATCTGACGGGTGCTGAGACAGTGGGCAACTGGACATGAATTGGCTGTAAGTGGGTATCAATCGATAGTTTATATACTGTATTGAGGAGAGGGTTGGTGTCCACTAACCGGCAGTACATGACTTCATGTGCTGGAGAACAGTCTTCACAGTGGAACAGTTGGCTTTGGGACACGACTTCGAGTGACATGTCTTCGAGTGTAGGATCAGAAGCAATTGGTTTCGGATTAGTAGTCGTTTGTGTGGATCTAATACAGCCGTTGTCGGCGTATCCGGCGTTGTCTTCGTAGTCATTCCTCACGAGTTAATTATCAGTCGATTCTTAAGCTTTAAATGAAAGCACTTTCACTCAACTCTTATAAACTGTTTGTATTTCTGAACACAATATAAATATCGACACAATTATAAAGTGTTGACAACTGGACACACATTCAAATGACACAAACGTACGAAACTGTATTCAAAAGTTGATTCAAAAACTCTTACGACTGATAAGCTTTCGCCACAACCAGTGATAAGCAGTGTATTGTATGACTGTATGAATCATATGACTCCTACTTTAGCACTGACTGCCAAACACAGCATTAGTTTTATATAGCGTTTCAGTAGAAATGTACTCATTTTGAGGCAATCCTTCACTTATGTAACAAACGTTTGCATTTCGTTTCGTATGCGTTATCCCCGCGTATCGTATGGCCTGTCATTCAGGCAAACGTATGCCTAATGTTCACAATCTATGCCCAATTGGGCCTAAATCTCATACATAGCCACATATCTGATAACCTTGCTCATTTCGGACACATACGGGGTATCAATCAATTGAGGAGGGTCATATCAAACCTAACGCTATAACTTGCGTAAACTTTATGTTTTGCCTTATTAATCATAATGTCAACATTTCACCATGCTCATTCATAAATGCAAATATTGATCACATGTTTATGTGCTACCAGTCCAGTGGTGAGCCCTCCCTGTTGTCAGGGGTGGGCAAAGGGGTCTGACATTAAATATAGCTTATGATGCAATCGTTGCATACAGTCATAGCCTATCATAGGCTATGAGACACACGTTTGCATTGCGACCACAGATGCCGTGCATTGCATTCACACTACGTTTCCACTCATCCATGCATTCAATGCATTGATTGTGCCGTTCATTACAATTCACTTCATTTAACCACACATTGTGTTGCAATCAACTAATTGTGCGTTTAGTCGACATCTCATCAAACAATAGGTAAGCAATCATTGATTACTTAAACTAATGCCACAATTAGTGAGTGAATGCTGTGAGCATACAATGGTGTGAATGGTGTCATAATAGGGGTGTTTGACTGTATGTGTCATACGTTTGGCGCTATTTTTGCCACAAAACCCAACATTTGTGTGCATTTCGTATGCATTGAATTGAATGCAAATTATCACTCGTTTTGCAAATAATCCGCAAATTGTGGTGAAAATCGGTGATAATAGTTGACACTCATGGCGATCAGTGGTGAGACCATCGAGAAGATCTCGGCACTGATGACACAGATATGTTGTCCTCTTTGTGGCAAAAATGACCAAAAGATCTCGTCGTTGACGGCTTGTGGACACTATCTGTGCTCGAAGTGTGTCCTCAAACACGTCTTGGAGACCGGGAACAAGTGTCCCAAATGTTATGCCATTAACTACACCAATGACTGCAAAGATGATCTTTATATGAATTCTGTGCTCAAAGTCGGTCTCAGAATGAGTCGACTTTTGGATCAAAGGTTTTGTCCATTTGTTTACCATTTGATGTCTAATTGGAGTTAATTATCACTTTCCAGACAATCGAAAGAGTCGGTCAAACAAGTGGTGACCAAACCTCGTGAGGAACCACCGAAAGCACACTCCAGTGGTTATCGAAAGGATCTGATTATTGAGAGGTTTGTTGTGATTGTCAACTGTTTGTGTGGTTTTGATTACGTCTTGTGATTGTGTTTAGTCTGAAGTCTTGTGTCGCAAACGGCGCTAAAAACAAGCAGAAGAGCGGTTCCGTGTCTGACGACAAACCCGTCGCCAATAAGCGCACGAAAGCGGCTGAAGAGAGGCCCAGAAGTCCGCCGATGATTGAGTCGCCGAAGAAGTCGCCGAAGAAGTTGCTGAAGAAATCTATTGAATACTTGGACTCAGACGTGGAGTCCATGGATTCAATTCCCGACTCTTTCGGAGACCAGTCACACACCGGAGTCAACGATACCAAAGAGGAGGACAATACAGAGTTGGTGTCCGTTATTCTGGAGGGCCTGGAGTCCAACACCGAACGCCTGTCCATCGAATTGGATGTACTCTTTGAAAAGCATTTGATTAATGAATTGTTTTGTAAATTATTTGTAATTTGCTTTTGAAGTCGACGTTTGCATCGGAAGGACACCAATCGGATAGACTCTCGCAAACAAAAGCCACGGAAAAGGTTTGTCCGAAAGTGTTTGAGTCGAAGTCGTGTCAAATGAGTCCACAAACGGAGGACAGAGCGATGCAAACGTTGAGCGAAACGGTGCCTAAAAAAGTGCTGAAATCCATTTCAACCCAATTCTGTGTCTCACAAACCAATCAAAGCATTCAGACCGTGGATGTTGTTGTCAATGATGATACCAATGCTGACAAACCCAGTGACAACTGTTGCTCATCTAATAATTGCTGTTTCCATAAGTTTATTCATACCATTCCCTGTCATTCACTGCAAACATTCCTCAAACAAATGGTTGAATTCAAAGATAATGCCATCAATAAAGAGAATCAATTGACNCCAGAAGTCCGCCGATGATTGAGTCGCCGAAGAAGTCGCCGAAGAAGTTGCTGAAGAAATCTATTGAATACTTGGACTCAGACGTGGAGTCCATGGATTCAATTCCCGACTCTTTCGGAGACCAGTCACACACCGGAGTCAACGATACCAAAGAGGAGGACAATACAGAGTTGGTGTCCGTTATTCTGGAGGGCCTGGAGTCCAACACCGAACGCCTGTCCATCGAATTGGATGTACTCTTTGAAAAGCATTTGATTAATGAATTGTTTTGTAAATTATTTGTAATTTGCTTTTGAAGTCGACGTTTGCATCGGAAGGACACCAATCGGATAGACTCTCGCAAACAAAAGCCACGGAAAAGGTTTGTCCGAAAGTGTTTGAGTCGAAGTCGTGTCAAATGAGTCCACAAACGGAGGACAGAGCGATGCAAACGTTGAGCGAAACGGTGCCTAAAAAAGTGCTGAAATCCATTTCAACCCAATTCTGTGTCTCACAAACCAATCAAAGCATTCAGACCGTGGATGTTGTTGTCAATGATGATACCAATGCTGACAAACCCAGTGACAACTGTTGCTCATCTAATAATTGCTGTTTCCATAAGTTTATTCATACCATTCCCTGTCATTCACTGCAAACATTCCTCAAACAAATGGTTGAATTCAAAGATAATGCCATCAATAAAGAGAATCAATTGACTGTTAATCGTAAGACGTTTTTATAATTTTAATGGTAATTCTTGTAATTAAATAAATTTGTGATTTAGAAGCAACTGATCCAAGTTCTGGAGAGACAATTGTGGCGAGTGAGCCATCAGTGAATGCCAAACAAAGTCAGGATTCAGTGATAGTGATTGAAAAGCCAACGATTGAGAAGCAAAACGTTGAAGAGATTGAAGAGGAAAAGAAAGTGAGAGGAAGAGTGACTTCTAAGAGGGGTTCCATTGAATCCAACAAAAGATCTAAAAAACTGAAAACTGCTGAACCGGTGGTTGACTTAAAAGACAATGAAGTGATCGAAGAAAATAAAGATTTTTTAAAGATCTTGGAGTTGAATGAAAACCCAAAGAGTAATGAGAATGTCATGAATGAGCCAAATAAGCCAAAGGGCAAGAAAAGAGTGGCTAAACCGAAGTCCAAACAGAAGGCAACCGTCGAGGAGTCGAGTGCCGAAGAAGACAATACTGTGGCCGACAAAGAGGTTCCCAAAAGTAAAGCAAATGTACGAAAGAGTGTTAAGAAAAGCAATCAAACAATTAATGCCAAGAAAACAGCAAATATGAGATCTGTCGAGGAATCAGCTGAAGGACTAGCCGACGATAATGTGTTTGCTTTTGAGGACAAACCTGAAGACAATGCGGTTGTGAAGCAAACGGCAAAACGTAAAGCCGTGGCCAAGAAGTCCACTAAAACCAAAGCTAATGCTATGGACGAAGAACCGGAAACAGATAAAGAGATGCCTTTAGAAGTGAACGAAAGGAACAGCAGAAGACGACAACTGATTTCTACCGATTCCGAGGATTTGGAAAAACTGAAGATGAAAACCACAAAATCAATGCCAAAAGTTAGTTATAATTACCGGTCGTTAAGTGTTTGAAGTTTTATTTTAAATCTCAATGTCTTTGATAGCATTCAACGGCCAAAAAGCCAGATAAGGAAGTGTTTAAGCGTCCAGCCTCTCCCACGCCCTCCGATGTGTCGGACATATCGATGGCGTCGTCGACCTCATCGCGAACCAGAAGCTCATCGTCTGAGCGCTCGAAAGAACAAAAGTATTGTATTTTGAACTCAGGTTTGGACGACAAACAGAAAAAGAAGATTCAAAGCGTTTGTCGGACACTGAATGCAGAAGCAGTGGAGGAGTGGTCCGATCGCGTCACACATCTCGTCATTGCGT